CTCCTCGATCCTCGCGCTTCGATCCTCGCTCCTCGATCCGCGATCCTCGATCCTCGCTCTCCGATCCTCGCTCCTCGCTCCTCAATCTTCGCTCTTCGATCCTCGCCCCTCGATCCTCGCTCGTCGAACCATGCTCCTCGCTCTTCGATCCTCACTCCTCGCTCGATTCTCTCTCCTCGCTCCTTTCAGCTAGTTTCGGCTACCATCGGCTGCCGTCGGCTGCGATGCAGTCCTCAACAAGCCTCCACCATGATCCCAATGCGGCAGAACAGGGCTCCCAAATGGTTCAAGTGATCTCCAAGACGGCCTCCTCCCTACTCCTCCGGACTCCTCCTTCCGTTTTATTATTCGGCGCTTTTCCCCACTCCTCGGGACTCTTATCTACTCCATCGCACTCCTCAGCACTATGCCCCATTCCTCCCCACTCTTCGGGACTCTTCCCCACTCCTCCAGACTCCCCCCACTCATCCGCACCCTCCCCACTCCATCGGACTCCTCGGCCCCCCCCCCCCCCACTCCTCCAGGCTCCTCCCTCCACCGCAGTCCTCGGCAGTCCTCATCACTCCTCCAGATTCCTCTCCACTCCATTGCACTCCTCCGCGCTCGTCCGCAATCCTCCCCATGCCATTCCTACCTTTGGCGTAGAGCGGGGTTTGCGGCAGCCATTTTTGTTCCTCTCCCGTGCCCCTAGCCTCCGTGCCCACAACATCAGGGCAGGAGGCGAGTGTTGCCCAACAGTCTGCCTCCAACCTTTTTGTTTATGAACAACTCCTCCCTGTTGCGCCCCAGTCCAGTCGGAAGGGCGCTCAGGGTGTTTCGCCTGAGACTTCCTTACCATTCATGTGGCTGAAACGTAGAAGCTGGCAACAGTTTCACAGATGGAGGTCGGGTCGCTTCCAACATGTTGTTCTCGCCCTAGCGCCGCGCCAATTCGTTTCAACACTTTGCAGCAGTTTCGCGGATTGAGGGCGGTTGGTTTCCAAAAGTCAGCTCCATTCGTTTAATACACCTGCAAGGGCTTCGCGGATTGAGGGCGATTCCTTTCAGAATGTGGCTCTCGCCTTAGCGCCGCGCGCATTCGCTGTGAATATTTGCAAGAGTTTCGAGGATTCCCATTTCAACCTTCCAGAAACGGTGTTTTCGAGTGTTCTAGGAATGTCAGGGCGCAATAGTTACGTTGATTCGCGGTGTTCAAGTCCTAGGAACGGTGTTCTGGCACGGTTCAGCATCGTCAAGAGGCAACAGACAGTTTGACTCGTGGCGCCGAAGTTCCGAGAGCCGTGTTCTGACACGTTTCAGGATTTTCACACGGTTGTCTCCCAACGGGGCAATTCTTTAAAGGAAATGAATCCTTGTAAGGGGCTTATGGAGAGGGAGCTTGAGGGGAGGGTGTACGGTGGAAATCAATGCCAAGAAACACCCTGCTTGCCTCCAGAGTGACCTGGCTTTCTCGGGTTTCGATGGTTTTGCTATGGCAGGCGTGTCGTTTCCACACCAAAAATCAACGGGCGTTCTGGGGTCTCAGGGTTGGGTTTCTTGTGACAAGTTCCTTGTGGTCGAGCCCCTACTGTATTCCAACATCGTTGATGATTCTTGGGTTTGCACTGGTCCTCCTCCTCCTCCTCCTCCTCCTCCTCACCCTCCTCCTCCTCCTCCTCCTCCTTCTCCTCCTCCTCCTCCTCCTCCTCCTCCTCCTCCTCCTCATCCTCAGTTGAATTGAATTCCCCAGGTGGACATGGTAGGTTGTTCCCTTGTCTACTTGGGTTGCTCCCCAGCTGATGCCTCTGAAGAGCCTTTGCTGAGTCTTTGAAGAGGCTCCATACTAAGCTTCTGAAGAGCTTTTGAAGAGCCCCCCCTTAGGAGCCTCTGCAGAGGCTCGTGAAGAGGGCCCGGAAGGCCCTACTTCTGGCGTCGTGAACAAAAGTCGGCCCAGCCAGCAGTTTTTGGCCTCTGGAGGCCCGCTTCGTTCCTAGGAACACTCCACCAAGGACGCAGGATGCGACGCAGACGCAGGGGATGAGGTCGAGAACTCTAGGGGCCCATGGCACGAACAACTCATGGGTGTGGGATGTCTGGGCCCCGTATAGCCCACCTTGGGGCGGATGGCTCAAAATCTCAGCTCGAGTTCCCCATCTTTGGCCCATCTTGGGGCCCTCTTGGGGGTCTCTTGGGCCGTCTAGGGCGCTCCCTGGGTCGTCTTGGGGTCCTCTTGAGGCGTCTTGAGGCACTCTGAGGGGCCTCTTGGGCCGTTTTGGGGCAGTCTTGGGGTATAATCGGCCGATCGGCCTATGAGCCGATCAGCCGATCAGCGACAGAGCAGCCGAGCAGCCGATCAGTCGATCAGCCGATCAGTGGCCGAGCAGCCGATCAGCCGGTAATACTAATCGGCTTGTCGGCTGATCGACTGATCGGCTGATCGGTGGATCGGCTGGGCTCGTATAGCACCTCGAGGCGCCGTCGCCTCGCAACAACCTTCATCATTACCAGCATCCTCATCCTTATCCTCATCCTCATCCTCATCCTCATGCTCATCCTCATCCTCATCCTCATCCTCATTCTCGTCCTCCTCATACTCCTCCTCCTCCTTCTTCTCCTTTTCTCCTCTTCCCCAATAATCACCACCACCCTTCTCATCCTCATCCTCATCATCGTCAGTATGATCCTCATCCTCATCATCATCATTATCATTATCATCATCATCATCAGCATCACCAGCATCATCATCATTATCCTCATCCTCATCCTCATCCTCATCCTCATCCTCATCCTCATCCTCATCCTCATCCTCATCCTCATCCTCATCCTCATCCTCATCCTCATCCTCATCATCCTCAGCATCAGCATCAGCATCAGCATCAGCATCAGCATCAGCATCAGCATCAGCATCAGCATCAGCATCAGCATCAGCAACATCATCATCGTCGTCAGCATCAGCATCAGCATCAGCATCAGCATCAGCATCAGCATCAGCATCAGCATCAGCATCAGCATCAGCATCAGCATCAGCATCAGCATCAGCATCAGCATCAGCAACATCATCATCATCGTCGTCATCATCATCATGTTCATCATCATCAGCATCATGTTCAGCATCATCCTCCTCCTTCTCCTCCTCATCATCATCATCATCACCATCCTTCTTCCCCTCCTCCTCCTCCTCCTCCTCCTCACCATCATCAGTATCATCACCATCATACTCTTCTCATCCTCATCCCCATCCTCTTCCGCACCCTCATCCTCATCGTCCTCCGCGCCCTCCTCGTCAGCATCCGTGTCGGCATCAGCTCCGGCATCAGCGCCGGCCTCAGCATCATCATCGCAAGGATCCCCCGCAGGCCGAACGCAGCCAAATGCCGTCCCGGGCCGCGCCCTCGGCCCAAGGCCGGCGTTCTGCGGCCCCCGGCTCCGCCCGCCGCTGCGTGCAGCCGGGTCTGCTCGGAGGGGCGCCGGCGCGGCGCGGCCACGGCGTGCTCATCGGGTTGCGGCAGGCCGCCGCCACCGGCGTCGCCGTCGCCGGTCCGAGGCGCGCTCCGATCCGAGCCCACCTCCCAGTTCGATCGCGCGACGGCGGGGTTCGGTTCGGTTCGATTCCACCCCCCGATGCGATTCGGCTCCCCGACTCGGCTCGGCCCGACTCGCCGAGCCGCTTCGGCTTCCCGAGGCGATCCGGCCTTCCGGCCCGATGCGATCGCCTCCCGATCCGACTCGGCTGCTCCATGCGAGGCGCTCCGATGCCCGAGACCAGGCAGCACAGGGTCGGGAGGTCGAGTCGGTGCCGGCGGATCCCGAGGGGCGAGGGCCCGTCGGCCTGGGCGGGTGGGGCGACCCCGCCCTGCGGCCCCCCCTCGTCGCTCGCCCGCCGCTCCCGCCGCCCGCTGCTGCCGCTGGCCCCTTGTGCTCGAGGCCTCCCTGCCGCCGCTCCCGCCGCCGCCGCCGCCGCCGCCCCTCGTCGTCGCCGTCGAGGTCGTCGCCGTCGCCGAGGCTGGAGGAGTCCAGTCAGCCAGCACAGTAAGGACAATCAGCTTTCCAAGGCTACCCTTGGCATCCGTCCCGTTCGGCCCATCGTTGGCCGCTTTGGCTGGCCCGCCCCGCCCGCAAAGTGTCGACGTCGCCTTCCAAGGCCCTTGCATCCTGATCGCGCGTGCTTATGATACGGGTTGACTGCGTCGAAGGGCATCAGGGATCGGGGCCTTCTGGACGCCTCTGGTCCTTGGATCTTGGCCTCGTGGTTGCCTCCTGCATGCCTTCGGAGGCCTGGAGGCCCCTGAAGGCCTCCAGAGGCTTGGCTCCTCGCCCTGCCCTCGTCTTGGCTTGGCGTCGCTCGCACGTGCGTATGTGTGTGTGTGTGTGTGTTTGTTTTTCCCCTTGGGCAGAAACCACCGGGGAGCACTTCGGGCCATCCCGCGACAGAGTGCGCGCACGAAGCCGAAGCGATGCCCGCGGAGTGGACGCCCGAGCGATGGGGCGAGCCCCGCCCCCCCCCTCCCCCTCCCTGCCCAGGGCTTTGGTCTGCACGGCGCCTCTGGCGCAGTGGCCCGCCCCCCCGTCATGCGAGGGCCCGCGCCGATCGGCAAAACAGAATAAGGTAACGAGCACCATCCCGAGCTCTTTGTTTGACGGCCCCACGGCCTGGGAGAGGCCGCCAGGAGGCCGTGAGGGGCCAGAAGTCTCAGGACCGCTCGGCCTCGGGAGCCTTTGGCGCAGTGCCCCCCCCCAGCAACGATGCCCTCTGGCATCTTTCCGCGGACCTCTCGGGAGGGGAAAAACAAAAACACACAGACACAAGGAATCGTCGATTCCCCAGAAAGCATGGGAAACTGGGGGAAGTGGTGGGAGGGACAAGAACCCCGACAATATGAGGAAAGATGGGGGATCCTGTTAGTTGTGTCTATTTCTTTGTGTGCCCCAGGGCCCCTTCGACCTCCGAGTCCCGAGTTCCGAGTTCCTGCCCCGAGTCGACGGCGGAATGCCACTGCCCCCTGCACGGGCTGGTCGCGCAGGTGCTCTGCGGCCGCTGCTGGCCGACCCCGGGCCGCTCTATCGGCGCGGGCTCGCCCCCCCAGCCGCTGCGGAGCAGCGGCTCCTTGCCGGGCACCGCCGTGCCCTCCAGTCAGAGTCACATTACCTCGGCGCGTGCCCGCGCCCAAGGCTCGTTTCCGTTTCCTGCTCTGGTCCTCTTTCTCCCCTTTCCCTTGCCCTCGTCACCTGCCTGCTGCACTCTGCGCTCGCTCACTTGGCGCGGCCCCTCCGCCTAGGCTGAAGGTTTTGCTCCAGTTTTTCTGTTTCCGACTCGCGTGGGATCCTAGTGCGGGCACGGCTGTCGGCATTGGCCGTGGAGGTCGGGCTTCGCACGAGGGAGTCTTGAATTTCATGAGCTTGTTGCCTTCTTCCCTACGTCGTTTCTCTCGCTTTGTTCGTCCTCCTCCCCCTCCTCCTCCCCCTCCTCCTCCTCCTCCTCCTCCTCCTCCTCCGCCTCCTCGTCCTCCTCCTCCTCCTCCTCCTCCTCCTCCTCCTCCTCCTCGTCTCTCCTCCTCCGCCTCTTCCTCCTCCTCCTCCTCCTCCTCCTCCTCCTCTTCCTCCTCCTCGTCTCTCCTCCTCCCCCCCTCCTGGCTGCGGTTGTATGGGTTATGTCAACGGCCGATTGGGCCACGGGGCTTCCGCCTACAACGCCGTGGTCTCTTTTTCCCGGCCCGCGTCCAGCTCCGCTTTGCTCCTCCCTCTTTTTCCACGCATCCTCGACAGCACGCTTCGACAGGAACCGCGGGCATCAGGCTTGCTTAGCGCTGCCGTCTGCGGAGGCAATCTGTAGTGGCAGTGCGAATCCTTTCACTGTGCTGGCTGAGGCGCGACGACACATGATGGAGCTGCGTTCCACGGGATTCTATATTCCTTACACCTGCGAAATTGCAAGGCAAAGCCTGGCATGTCACCCTCACCCCCCCGAGCATATGCCTGCGGCCTCCCCCGATGGCCGAAGAGGCCTCCAAGAGAGCCCAACAGTGCCCTGAGACGGCCCAAGAAGCCTGGAGAGAGCGCCCCGAGGCCTACATCGGGCCCCAAAGACGGCAAAAGGCGTTTCCCAGACGGCCTCAGAAAGGCCCGAGGCGGCCCCAAGACGGCCCGAGAACGCTCCGAGAAGGCCCAAGACGGCTTCTACACGACCACGAAGGCTTTGAAGACGGCCGAAGAGGCCCCCAGAGGGCCCCCAAGAGGCAGACATCGCCAAAGCCCTTTCGGAAAACGCGCACAAGCGAAGTATCAGCGAAATCGCAGACCACCGTGTCTCATACATTCGGTTTGTTACACTTTTTTCCATCGGCGACATTGCAGAGTGAAGTCAGAGACAGCCCCATGACGGCCCGAGAGCGCTTCGAGAGGGCCCAAGCTGGCTTCTACACGACCATAAGGCCCTGAAGACGGCCCCCGAAACACCCCAGAGGGCTTCCAAGAGGCAACACTTGTCAAACTTCCTGTTCAGCATATTCGCTTCTTCTGTTTTAACAGCGCCCGCAATTGCCCAAGAGGCCCCCGATACTGCCCCAAGACGGCCCAATAGGCCCCCAAGAGGGCGCCAAAACTGCCCAAGAGGGTTCCAATACGGCCCAATAGAGCCCCAGAACGGCCAAGAGGGACCCCAGAGGGTCCCCGAGTTGTCTCAAGGGAGCCTCAGGCCATAGGAGGCCCCCTTGACGGCCCAAAAGCGCCCTAAGAGGGCCCCAAGATGGCCCCCCCCCCCAAAACGGCCCAAGAGGGCCCCAGGGCGGCCCAAGATGGCCCCCAGCCAGCCCACAAGAGCTCCAAAAGGTCCCCCAAGAAGGCCCAAGAGGCCCCCAGAGACTCCCCAAATGCTTCCAAAAGGTTCCCAGGAAGCTTCCCAAGGCTTCAAGAGGCCCCGGATTCACGATCCATCTCAGGGCTTCAAGAGGTCCCTCAGACAAAACGTCGCCAGGCCCCGCGAGGCACCGAAGACGCCCCGAACTCACGATCCAGGTCAGGGGTGTGCCGACATGGGCGAGGCGGCGGGATGCGAGCCTTGGCTATGGGGCCGGCGGTGCAACTCCCTGTGGGGTGCGACGCAGTATCCCTGCACGGACGGCCGTGAACTCGGATCGCGCGGACTGCGTTCCCTCGCAGGGCGATCTGACGAGCGTGGGTTCGCCCCTCGGCCCTCCGGCCTCGAACTCGGATCTCTCTGTCTCCTCCCACCAGCGCTGGCCTTGGGTAAGATAACGGCCCCGGGAACCAAGATCAGACGTTCAGATTTCTGTGATTCCGCTCCAGCAGGGAGGCGGTCCCAAGGCCCGAATACAGACGTCAATTTTACTGTGTTGTTGCAGTTTCAATTAGCGAGCGGCCCTGGGAACCAAAATCTGATGTTCACTTTTCTCTGCAGTTCCGATGTGAACCCAGCCATTTGCAATGATGGTCCCGCGCTGGGGAACGGCCCCGGGAACCAAAATCAGACGTTCAGGTTTCTGTGGCACCTCTCCAGTGGGGACGCTGCCCCAGGGCCCAAAATCATATATTCATTTTCTTATGTTTTCAGTTTCAGTCAGGGAGCGGCCCCGGGAACCAAAATCTCATGCTCACTTTTCTCAACTGTTCGGATCTGCGCCCCGCCCTTTGCAGTGATGTTCTCACGCTTTCCTCCACCTCCTCCTCCTCCTCCTCCTCCTCCTCCTCCTCCCCCTGACGAACGTGCAGAAGCTTGAGCAGCCGAATGGGAACGACAACCATGACTCCATGAAGTACCTGAATGAACGTGCAGAAGCTTGGGCAGCAAGATGGATCCCCAGCGTGTTCTTCGGCCGTGATATGGACAACTTCAACGACTGGATGGACTGGTGCGTCCCGTACATCACAGCTGTTCTACACCGCACCCAGTTCAATGCGCACTTCTGCCTCGATGACCAGTACGGGTCAGCCAATGCTCGCCGTGACATGGCGAAGGAGATATGTTACGGTGCATGGCATCGAGCTGAACGACCTCGCAACCACCGCCTACAGATCTACACCACCGAGCACATGCCGACCAACACTCATCGAGAATTTGCTGATGAAACTGCTGAACACCGCGCCCGCCGTCGCTGGATCGAACGGGAACGTGCCACCAACCCGAACATCCCGCAGGAAGACGACGGCACTCAGTCTACCACTACGGCCACCTCCACACCTCACATCTACTCCGCCAGTGACATCATGATGAACTCCGATACATCCGACCGTGACGGACTTCTTGGACGTGCTGCTCTCCCTGCGAGTGTTGAGCACGGCTGGCGCGACCTGCGGACCCACATGGCGAACTCCACGGCCTCGCTCTTCTGGCCCGTGGTCAAGACCTTGTCTGGAGCGTGGACGACATCGCACCGCATGCGCGCCAATCCCCACAAGAAGAACTGCCTGTTCGGCTGCGTCAAAGTCTCTCAGATCAAGAACACGGACGACATCACCCACTACATTACATGCCCGCGAATGTGGGCGCTACTGGCTTAGCCTCGGGGACAAGCTGCTGGTGATGTCCTCACACGGCTCGGGCTCCACGAGAGCGACAACATCGACGACCACCCGAAGCACACCATCACACGCATGGCTGTGGCCTTCCGCACGTACAACATCATGCGGGTGCGCGCCGAGCTGGGCACGCCCGCCATCCACGACGAGCTCAAGTACCACAAGGAGGTGATCGCAGCCGCCCGCCGCGTCCTGAGGCTGCCTCGGTGCCTCGTGGGCGGCGCGGGCCCGCTGCGCCTCTAACCCGCGGACACGCGCCCCCTTCAGCGCGTCGTTCGCTCCTCCTCCTCCTCCTCCTCCTCGTGCCCCAGATTCTATTTCCCTCCTTGCTTTTCCGCCCTTGCCTCCTCCGCGGACCTCGTGCGTGCGAGATCGCCCGCGATTCTGGGAGTTTTCCCGTCGCCAAGGCTACACTGCCTTCTAAGTGGTGGTGAAACCCCATCGTCGGCAGGTTCGGGAATCCAGTTTTTCGGGCGGTCGTCGTCGTCCGTCGCCGCCGTCGGCGTTGTCGTCGTTGTGGTGGTCCTTCGCTCAGCCCGCCCGCGCGCCGGCTGGGCTCGGCCGGCAGAAAAGGAGAATATGAGGAAGGGCAGGGAGGGGAGGGGGCAGAGGAAATGGAGAAAGGAGAATGAGGAGGGGGGGATATGGATAAGGAGGAAGGATTTCAGTGGGACAGATGCTCTCGCCGCGGCGCCGGAGGCATCCCTCATTCAGCACGGTGCTGCCGCTTCGCTTGCGCGGCTTGCGATACTCCGGAAATGGTGCTCTCGCCCATCCGTGGCCGCATCCTGATCCAGGATTGGCGCAGCCACCCCAGCACTGGCCACACTCTTCAATGCAAGCGGCACTGTCGCCTCAGAGTCGGCCGCACCTCTCATCACAGATGATGCTACCAGTCGCTCGCAATCCCCGCTCCTGGTTGGGCTTGGCGATCTCGCCCGAGCGCTCGCCGTATCTTTGTCTGAGAGTCATGCTGCCGTCTGCGCGCTGGCCAAATCCTTCATTCAGTGTGATATTCTTTCCGCAGCGCCAGCTACATCCCTGATTGACTATTGTGATGCCGCTCCAAACGCACGATTTTCACGGCCCTCGTGGGAGAATGGTGCTCCGCCCAAGCGCCAACCACATCCATTTCCAAGATTTGTGCTACCGCCCCAGCGCCGGCCGCATTCGTGAGTGATAATGGTACTCTCGTCTGAGCCTCGGCTACATCCACCTTATGCGAGCGCCACCTTCAGCGCAAGAGAACTGACGACCGCAGCTGTCTTTCCTTCGTGCTGGGCGAGTGCCGAAATTGGCGTTCGGTTTGGACGAAACGCGTCGGGTCCGTTGCCAATCGGGGCTGCGCCAGGTTAGCCTCCCCCGACGTCAGGTTCGGGAATGGGTCGTAGCAACATTGCGGCTACATCAACATGCTAACCATGTAGGCGCAAGGATCAATATTGGACGGCGAAGCGCAGCGAGCCTTAAAAGGCTCGCTGCGCAAAAAGGCGGATGTAGCCGAGGCTCAGACGAGAGTATCATTCTACCATTCTCACTCGCGAATGCGGCCGGCGCTGTGGCGGTAGCACAAATTTGAGAAATGGATGAGGCTGGCGCTTGGGCGGAGCACCATTTTCCAATGAGGGCCGTGAAAATCGTGCGCGTGGAGCGGCATCACAATAGTCAATCAGGGATGTAGCTGGCGCTACGGAAAGAATATCACACTCCATGAAAAATTTGGCCAGCGCGCAGACGGCAGCATGACTCTCAGACAGAGATATGGCGAGCGCTCGGGCGAGATCGCCAATCCCAACCAGGAACGGGGATTGAGCGCGACTGGTAGCATCATCTGTAATGAGAGGTGCGGCCGACTCTGAGGCGACAGTGCCGCTTGCATTGAAGAGTGTGGCCAGTGCTGGGGTGGCTGCGCCAATCCTGAATCAGGATGCGCCCACGGATGGGCGAGAGCACCATTTCCGGAGTATTGCAAGCCGCGCGAGCGAAGCGGCAGCACCGTGCTGAATGAGGGATGCCTCCGGCGCCGCGGCGAGCGCATCTGTCCCATTGAAATCCTTCCTCCGTGTCCATGTCCCCCCCCTCCTCATTCTCCTTTCTCCGTTTCCTCTGCCCCCTCCCCCCCTGCCCTTCCTCATCTTCTCCTTTTCTGCCGGCCGAGCCCAGCCGGCGCGCGGGCGGGCTGAGCGAAGGACGATCGCGACGACAACAACGACGACGACGACGACGACGGACGACGACGACCGCCCGAAAAACTGGATTCCTGAACCTGCTGACGATGGGGTTTCATCACCACTTGGAAGGCAGTGTAGCCTTGGCGGCAGGAGAGCTCCCAGAGTCGCGGGCGATCTCGCACGCACGAGGTCCGCGGAGGAGGCAAGGGCGGAAATGCAAGGAGGGAAATAGAATCTGGGGCACGAGGAGGAGGAGGTGGAGGAGGTGGAGGAAGGCGTGATAACCTCACTGCAAAGGGCTGGGTTCAGATCCGAGCAGCTTGGGAAAGTGAGCGGCAGATTTTGGTTCCCGGGGCCGCTCCTTGACTGAACCCGAGGCAGCTTCCCCACGGGAGCGGAGTCACAGAAATCCGAACGTCAGATTTTGGTTCCCGGGGCAGTTCCCTGGCGCGGGACCATCATTGCAAAGGGCCGGGTTCAGATCGGAACGACAGAAACGTGAACCTCTGACTTTGTTTCCCAGGGCCGCTCGCTGACTGGAAGTGAAACAACACAGTAAGATTGACGCCCTGGGACCGCCTCCCTGCTGGAGCGGAATCACAGAAATCTGAACGTCTGATCTTGGTTCCCGGGGCCGTTATCTTACCCAAGGCCAGCGCTGGTGGGAGGAGACAGAGAGATCCGAGTTCGAGGCCGGAGGGCCGAGGGGCAAACCCACGCTCGTCAGATCGCCCTGCGAGGGAACGCAGTCCGCGCGATCCGAGTTCACGGCCGCCACAGTCTGACGCCACAGTCTGACGTCCGTGCAGGGATACTGCGTGGCACCCCACAGGGAGTTGCACCGACGGCTCCAGAGCCAAGGTTCGCGTCCCGCCGCCTCGCCCATGTCGGCACACCCCTGACCTGGATCGTGAGTTCGGGGCGTCTTCGGTGCCTTTCGGGGCCTGGCGACGTTTTTCTTAGGGACCATGGATCGTGAATCAGGACCTCTTGAAGCCTTCGGAAGCTTCCTGGGAGCTTTTTGGAAGCATTTTGGGAGTCTCTGGGAACCTCTTGGGTTTGGGGCTCTTGTGGGCCGGCTGGTGGCCCTCCTGGGCCGTCTTAGGGGGCTCGGGCCGTCTTGGGGCCATCTCGGGGCCCTCTTGAGCCGTCGAGGGGCCCTCCTATGGCCCTCTTGGGGCTCCCTTGGGATCCCTCTGGGACCTTCTGGGGCCCCTATTGGCCGTCTTGGGGCTCTCTTGGGCCGTCTTGGGGCCCTCTTGCGCTGTCTTGGCCCCCTTTTGGGGACCTCTTGTGCCGTCTTGGGGCGATATCGGGGGCCTCTCGGGCCATGGTGGACGCTGTTCGGACCGAAGAAGCGAATATGCCAAGCATGAGCGTTTTTCGAAGGGAACTTGGCGATTTTTTGCCTCCTGGGGGCCTCCGAGGGCTCTCTTGGGTCGCTTTAGGGCTCCCCCGTGCCGCCGCCTCTGGCGCCGCCCCTGGCGCGCTCCGCGCGCCAAGGGGGTCCAGCGCCGATCCAAGCAATGCGTGGGGGCCTCTGACATTCATGTTTTATGCCACTTGTGTCTTCTTCCGAGTCCACGGGCGGGGAGACTGGACTGCCGATCTCGGGGGGCTCCAGTGAGGTGTAGACGGCTAGTCCTCCTCCTTCTCCTTCCGTCGCCCTCTCGCCTTCTACAATTCGCCTTCTACACTTACACAACATGAATACTATTCTCCACTCTCCCCTGATGACGTCCGGACGATCTAGAGCCCCCCTCCGCGTATAGTTTCCTACGCAGTTTTTTGTTTGGTGTGTGGTTTTGTTAATCTATATGTATTTGTCAACATGTTGCTCCCGCTGAAACGCTGACCACATTTCTGTGCTTCTGGTTGTTCCAAATTGTGCTCCCGCTGCAGCGCGGGCGTTGTCGGTCGTTCCAGAAAAGCCACGAAGTTGAGAAAATGCCCGAACCATCGGAAGTGATTACACATTCGGTGTCGATTCGTTGATTTTTTGTGCCGCGGAAGCTCCCCCCCCACTTTGCGTCGTCGTTGTTTTCAGGAAGTACCAAGCGGGAGCCCCGTTTCTGTTTTGAGAAGGCGATGTTGAAAGCAGAGCCGGTGGGTGATCTCCATCAGCCCCGCCTTGTGTGGAGCTTTTGGGGGAGCCCAAGAAGCTAGGCATGGAGCCAAGACTCCAGACCAGCCCAGACCTCTCGAAAACGATCCACTACCCTCCAAGGAACCCGGCGCCATGCCATAGCATGGTGTGCGGCGTTGTATTTTTTGCCGCTGTGCGATGCCATGCTTTGCGTTCTGCCGTGCTCTTCTACGCCATGCCATGCCTTGCCATGCTCTACCATGCATCGCGTACCCTCTCGCGATCATTGCCCTGCTCGACATCCGACTGTGCGAATCGAGAGGATATCTACGCCATGGTATGGGATGGGAGGGAGGGGTAGGACGTCAGATATGACGCGAGCGCACCTAGCTTGCCTCCCCCTCTCCTCGTCCTTCTCCCCCTCTCCTCCCCCCTCTCCTCCTCCTCTCCTCTTCCTTCTCCCCGCCCGACGGTCGGGAGGGTCGGGGGGACTGAGGCGATCTGCTTGCGGTGGGTTCGCGACGCGTGGACGCGGTGGCGGCCCCACAGCGCGTGCGTTGAACGCCTACCGCAGCAAGTGGCCCAGAATCGGCTGGCATCGGCCGAACGGCGCTGTCACAAGGCCGCGGTCGATCTCGGTTGAGCGGTCCACGCGGCGTCGAAAATACATTTAGACGTCGTCGCGACGTGAACCTGTCCTATGCCATTTGGCAAGCAGATCCTTCTTCTCAACCGACTCCTTTGCTCCTTCTCCTGCTCCTCCTCTTCCTGCTGCTCCTCACCTTTAGTCCGCAGCGTGGTTGTCAACGAATTCCAGCGAAATCGTCATCATCATCATCATCATCATCATCATCATCATCATCATCATCATCATCATCATCATCATCATCATCATCATCATCATCATCATCATCATCATCATCATCATCATCATCATCATCATCATCATCATCATCATCATCATCATCATCATCATCATCATCATCATCATCATCACATCACCATCATCATCATCATCATCATCATCATCATCATCATCACCATCATCATCATCATCATCACGATCATCATCATCATCATCATCATCATCATCATCAGCATCAGCATCAGCATCAGCATCAGCATCATCATCATCATCATCATCATCATCATCATCATCATCATCATCATCATCATCATCATCATCATTGTCCCATCTGAGATATGTATTCCTGTCTCCGCGCCGCCGCATCTCCGCAGTTTCGTGGTCGAGCCAAGAGAACTGGCCAGCCCACTGCATGGGCCAGTTTCTCTTGGAGGCGTGCCTCGGATACGTGCGAGATTTCACAGTCCAGCTCCTCCCCGCCGAGATAGCCCGTGGGGCTGCCGTGGGACTCCTCCAGTGGTACGGCGGCCCAGCGCTGCCGAGCGACACGCTGGTGTCAGCAGCCTGCGAGGGCTGGCGTACGGCGGCCGAGGGTTGCGAGAGGAGGTTCGACGTGGCAGTAGACAGCTGCCGCACATCGGCATCACTGGGAGCACGCCTTGGGCTGATTGTGGTGCCGCTCCTCTTCCTCGTGGGGTGCTGCAGTTGCTGCGCGGGCTTCGCCGTCGGCCGTGTCAACTATGGGGAAGTTTGGCGTCAAGCCGCCAGCCTGGTGCCGAGGTGGCATCCGCCCAGGGTCTTTCGTGCTGCTGAGGTACGCGGGGGACACGACGTGGCACACAAGGCTGTTGATACGGGAGGTGGATTCGGAGACGAAGTGGTCGTTCATCCTAACCCCGGACGAAGACTTGTACGTCGAGCGCCTGGAGGCGTCTGATGATGGGGACATCTGCGCGGTGCGCGTGTGCGCTGCTGGCGGTACGACCCCGATTGGAGTGCACCTTAGCAAGATGTGCGGCTTCGACCCCCCTCCGGTCGAGGCGGACCTCGAGGGGCTGGTGTCCGAGACGGAGCCTTTGGTGGACAGCGAGCGCGGCCTGCTGGGCTTGCCGCCGCTGCCGTCCCCGCCGACGGGGGCGCTGGTGGCGCCCGCAGGTGGCACCGCCACGCCTCTGCTCGACCTGGGGGCCCTGCCAGGGCCCAGGCTTTCGACGCCGCCCGGCACCGTCTGGGTCTTCGCGGAGTCCGCCTACGGCCGCGAGAAGGGTGGACGCGCAGCTCTCAACGACACGGCCGTGGCCTCGGGTGACAGAAGGGCGCTGGAGCTGGAGCCAGGCGCCTCGATCGCCATTGCGCGCGTCGAGATCGGCCGTGAGGAGGAGTTCAGAAAGGAACACACGACGAATGAGATGAGCATGCTTGACACCGAGACGGATGCCAGGGTCATGCGGGTGAAGTACGCTGGAGGCTCGGGCAAACGGCACCGAGACTGGAAGGAGGTCCAGGACGGCATCACAGAGGTGCCGCTGGTCGACCTGCCGATCGAGGGGCCTCGGACGAGCAGCTGGTGCGTGCCGTTCCTCGGACGTGGTGCGCACGGCGGCACCCCCCTAGACCACCACAGGTGGTGGCGTCACGCTGCAAAGCTGAACGCCGGCGACTGGGGGGTCGCGGAGCACGAGTCGGTCATGAAAGTACAGGCCCACGCAGGGTCGTATGACCAGCTCGACCTCGCCAGCCTCGCCTGCATCGAACACCTGTGCAGGCGCGCCCAGCTCATCGAGTACTATTACCGCGAGAAGACCAGGGACGCGGACCGCAACGCCCTCGGCAAGAACGCGCTGCCCTTCGACGAGCAGAAGATGTTCATGGGTGAGGGCCGCGGGGGGGGGTAGTCATGTGCGGCCCCCCCCCCCCCCCCCTCATAGAGCACGTGTCCAGGGAGCTGGAGAGGGGGGCCGCCATCGCGAAGCAGGCGCGCAAGGCCCGCGCGGAGCGGGAGCTGGCGCGCCCCAAGAAGCAATGACTGAGCCACGGTCGCCGCTGGGAGCCCGGCAGGCGGCGACTGGGCGTGGCGCTGGGCGCGCGGGGCCTGACCACCCCCGTGCAGCTGTGCCGGTCATCAGCCCTGGCGGTAGGCGGAGACAGAGGGGCGTTTTCCGTCTCACCGCCGCCTCCGCTCTGGATGCTCGGCTACCGTGCGCTGGAGCTGGGCGCCGATATCGTCAGTGTTGCCGCGCACTGGGAGAGCTCGCTGGAGGTGGGGATCACGCGCCTTTCTTTTCGGATGGCGCCGCCCCAGGGGGCGCCGCCCTCATCGCCGGCGAGCTCGTGGCCAACAGGGTGATTGACATGGGTGAGCCGCCGAAGGGCCTCTCTTCTTCCGCCGCCTTCAACGAGGTGGTGAAGTCCGCCGACTACCACGGTGAGCGTGTGGACGTTGCTGCTATCGATCATTGCCTCCTGTCTCTTCTTCCGGAGGGTCATCGGCCTGTCCCACTGGCTGAACTCCCGGGGAATGGGGGCGTGCTGGAGATCGAGCGTTTTTGTATGGAGCTTGTCTGGCCAAGTGAAGTTGCGGCCGAGATCAAGGCTTCGCTCAACTTGAGGCGGCCCCACATGGACCGCGGGCTCGCGCAGCGACCGCGCCTCTGCGCCAACCTCGTGGAGGCTTTGTTCAAGCGCGAGCTCATCGACTTTGGCGCAGACGTGCGTTGTGAGTGTGGAATTTTTTGAGTATGGAAGACGTCGGGGAAGCAGAGGATGGTGATTGACGCCCGCCTCTCGAACGCCCACTTCGGACACTCGAAGGAGACGCCTCTGCCCACGGGGGCCGCCTTCTCGGAGATCGGCCTCGAGGGCGAGGCCGAGGCGTGGTTCGCCGCGTTGGACCTGAAGGATGCCTTCTACTACATCGAGCTGCCCAGGCAGCTGCGCTGCTACTTCGGCCGGCCGAAGGTGTCCGTGAAGAATCTGAACTTTCCGACGGACGTGCTCAGCCTGGCCGTGGACGGGTTCCTCCAGCCGAGGTTCGCCGCGATGCCGATGGGGTGGACGCACGCGCTCTACTGGGCGCAGCTCGCCCACTGTCGCATCCTGACGCGGGCCTTCCCGGACTTCGACGTGGAGGGCTTCTTGACCGACAACAGGGTGCTGCCGTCGGTAGAGAAGGGGTCATCGGCCTGTGCGTCGACAACTTCGTGGCGGTGGGCCACTCTGCCGAGGCCGCCAACCTGCTGGTGGCCCGGGCAGCAGGTGCCTTCCGCGCGGCAGGGCTGCAGCCTCACGAGGAGGTCGCCGCTACCCAGGAGCTGGAGCTGCTCGGCTGGCAGCTGCGTGGAGGCAAGCAGGCTGGCGTTCAGGCCACAGACCGCCGCCGCTGGCGCCTGCGGCTGGCGCTGGAGCACGCGCTGACGCGGAACAAGTTCTCGGGTCATGAGCTTCCGCAGCTCGTAGGCCATTTCACTTTTTGTGCGCTAGTGCAGCGGCCGGCCCTCTCTTGCATGAATGCCGTCTATTCCTTTTCTCAGAAATTCCCAACTGAGTTCCACAAAGTGTGGCCGTCGGTGCGCCGGGAGCTGCGATGGGCACGGGATCTTCTGGCACTGCAGGTCAGGCCCTGGCGCCGCGAATGGTCGAGCTGCGTCACTTGCACCGACGCCTCCGAGACAGGGCGAGGAGTGGTCGATGCCCACCTCCCCGCCTCCGTCGTCAGAGAGCACGGGAAGTGGAATGAGAGATGGAGGTTCAAGAACGGAGGCGAGCGGGTCAGCGTTCGTGAAGCAGTAGGTTTTGCTTGTCCAGATGCCTCGCCGCCAGAGCAGGAGAAATGCGAAGCACCCCCTCCGTTGCATGGCGCGGAGCCCCCGCCTTCGTCGCCTCGTACCTCGCCCTCACCTACGACCCCCAAGGGCTCCAAGCTGGACCGTCCGGAGATCCTTGAGTTTCTCGAGCTATTCGCCGAGAACGACATGCAGGGGCCCGAGGACCAGTCGAAGGCTCGTTTTCCCGGAAATACGCGCGTTCCTGGATCTGAGTTCCCTTTCTTTCCTCATGATGATGGACATCTTCTGGGACTTCCTTGGGGCATCGTTGATGCGGGGAAGTGGGGGATGAAGGAGCACATCACCGTCTTGGAGGGTAGGGCCCTCGTGTGGGCCCTCAGGCACCGTCTGCGGAACACGAGGTCGTTCCATGCCCGTCTTCTCTGCATCACCGACTCGATGGCGGCCATTTTGGCTTTGTGCAAGGGGCGGAGCAGCTCGCCAGGATTGTGCTCGGTCTGCCGACAGTGGGCCGCGCTATGTCTGGCGAGCGGGGTGGTCCCCGCCTTCCGCTGGTGCCCGTCTGAGTGGAACCCAGCGGACGCACCGTCCCGGCTGGCCTGCGCTGACCGCCGCGACGATGGTGAGGACCGCCTTCCAGAAAGAGTCGAAGGTGCTGGACAGGAAGTGGTCGCGCGTTGGTGCTCTGCCTGGGCGGGCGACTGCGGGCCTCAGCCGCGGCTCCGACCAGGGGGGCCTGCGCGCTTGGCGGCCCGCCAGCGGAAGCACAGTGTCCGCGCCAGCGTGCGAGGACCAGCTGCCCCGAGCTACGAGCGCCTTGAAGGGCGCCAGGAGGGGTGTGGGGCAAAGGCGCCCCGTCGTGAGGATGGGCCGCACAGCCGCGCTGCGCCTGGCGGCCCGCGGAGACGAGAGAGGGGCCCGCAGGGTGGTCCTGGAGATGCACGCCGTGGCGCCCAGCTCCAGGCTCCAGTGCTCCAAGATGTGGGAGAGCCTCCAGGACTGGGCGGAGTGCCATATGCTGCCGCTCAGCCCGCCCAGCGCCTTCGACGCGACGCTGGCCGAGTACCTGGAGTGCCCGTACTTCGAGGGCCACGACGCGGGGGCGGGGGCGCAGGTGATCACTGCGGTCGGCTTCTTCGTGCCGGAGGTCTAGCGCCACGGGCCAGCCAGGCTGCCGCGCGCGCGCCTGGCGGCGCAGGGGTGGCTAAGGCTGTCGCCACTCCGGGCCAGGCTGCCCATCCCAGTGGAGGTGGCGACCGCCATCGTGGTCGCCATGTGTGCCCGCGGGGAGCGGAGAGCCGCTGCAGGGGCGCTGCTGGCGACCACCTGCTACCTGCGGCCCGGGGGGCTGGCCGCCGTGAAGCTTGCGGACCTGCTCCCGCCGGGGGCTTTCGCGGGCGAGGGCCGCGTTCACTGGGTGCTCCAGCTGAACAGGTTCGAGGAGGGGGAGCCGTTCAAGACGGGGCGCTTCGACGACTCGATCGTGCTCGACGACCCGAGGTGCGCCGCTGTGCAGGTTCCTCGCCCAGCTCAAGCGGACAGCACACCCAGGCGAGCCACTCATCGGGATGGGGCAGCTCCACTACGCAAAGCTGTTCGGCGAGGTGGTGAACGAGCTGCGCCTGAACATCCTCGGGCCGCCTGTGCCGTGCCAGTTGCGGCGCGCCGGCGCGTCGGACGACCGGGCGAGCGGCCAGAGGATGCTGGTGGAAATCAAGAAGAGAGGAAGGTGGCTCTCGGACTCGTCCGTGAGACGGTGCGAGAAAGGAGGACGACTTCGAGAGCAGCTGCTTCGCCTCCCCGCGGGCCTACAGGCCCGCTGCCGCGCCTGCCACCTCATGTGCGGCGAGATCCTCCTCGGGCGCTCCAGGACCTTGGCAGTGCCGCAGCTGTTCCGCTGAGCCCGCGGCCGCCAGCTGTCTTTCTCGAGATCTTCTCGGGGGGCGGGCACCTTGCGCGCGCCCTTGGACGCCGAGGGCGGCTGTGTCTAGAGTGGGATCTGAAGCGTGGCGAGAAATTCACACTTGCCATGCGTGCGAATGTCCAGTTGATCGGTGGTGGATTACCGCAGGATTTTTGTGCGGCCTGCGCCTCGGGACTCCGTGCGGCAGCTGGAGTCGGGCTCGTGATCGCCTGAATGGTCCACCTGCCTTGCGTAGCAACGATGATATCCTGGGGACTTCTCACGTGGCCAGTGCGACCCCAAAAGACAGGGATAATATCCTAGTAGGCAACACGCTCATGAGAGCATCAGCCAACATAATTCGCAGCTGCTTGCACATGCAGCTTCCCGGCTCGCTCGAGAATCCTCGCGCCTCAAGGCTGTGGATGGCGCCGCCGATAGCGCAGCTCCGTGGCCACCCCCAGGTGCGGGAAACCATTATGGGTTCTTGTGCTTATGGCACGCCATGGCGCAAACGCACGTGTTTTTGGCACTGGTATGTTGACCTCGCATGCTGTGGCCGACTGTGAACGTCCAAGCATGGTATTTGCGAGTTTTCAAAGCATAAGCACGTCGAGCTTGTCGGAAAAGACAGCCGTGGTGTGTTCCTCACCTCCACGGCCGAACTGTATCCCCCCAAATCGTGTTCCGCTCTTGCTGCCTGCTTTTCAAACGCTGATGCGTGCAGAATAGTCTCGTATCTTGACAGGGCGGCCTGCGGCCAGACTCCTGTTCGGTGTATATGGAACTGACATCCGTTCACTTCGCTCTCAGGGAGAGGGCGCCAAAGCCCTTCGAGAAGCCTTTGCTGAATGCTGTGTCGCCTGGATGAAAAGGAAGGGCGCCGCTGCGTGGTTGTCTGGCATCGTGAGGGAGGGATTGTCCCATCTGAGATATGTATCCCTGTCTCCGCGCCGCCGCATCTCCGCAGTTTCTTGGCCCACACCCGCGGGCCACCCTTTTGATTCTGCTCAGCTGCCCACAAGTTAAGATGCTGAGCTCTATCTTGAATGCCAGCATTCAAGCTTTCATACTATTACGCGCTTTCTTTTCTTTTATATTATCCTGAAGTTTCTGATCTTGGTCTTCCGCCCGGCCCCCCGTTGAGGAACTGACATCCGTTCACTTTGCTCTCAGGGAGAGGGCGCCAATGCCTTTCGAGAAGCCTTTGCCGAATGCTGTGTCGCCTGGATGAAAAGGGAGAGCGCCGCTGCAGGGTTGTCTGGCATAGTGATGGAGGGATCATCATCATCATCATCATTATCATCATCATCATCATCATCATTCTTGTTATTCCTATTGTGATGGTGGAATCCCCGTCCCATGGTGGAGTCCCCTTCCCATCAGTTGGGATGCTGGCAGTTTTCATCGTCGTGTGTGTGTGTGTGTTTTCTTCTCAGGAAATAATGTTACTTCTTATTATTAGCATCGTCGTCATCATCACCATCCTCGTCGTCGTCTTCGTCGTCGTGGTCCTCGTCGTTACGGCATCATCACCACCATCATCATCAGCATCACCACCATAATCATTATCATTATCGTCGTCGTTATCATCGTTACCATCCCTGTAATCATCACTTGCATCACCATCGTCGCCATAACTCATCATTTTCGTCATCATCGCCATCATCGTCATCATCGTCATCGTCATCGTCATCGTCATCATCATCATCGTCATAATCCTCATCATGTTCAGAAACGCCATCATAGTCACCATCAAAATCATCATCACCATCATTATCATCGTTGTCATAAATGTCATCGTTATCATCATTCTCATGTTTATCATCATCATAATCATTATCATCATCACCATCGTTATCATAATTCATCATCCGCTAGCCGTCATCCATTGCGTACCATTCACCACCCATTCTCCACGATTCACCTTCCATTACCCATTATCCACCTTCCACCACCCACCATCCACCTTCCACCATCAACCATCCATCATCCACCATCCTTCATCCATCATCCAGAATTTACCATTCACCATCCACCATCCATCCCCCACCCCCCATCATCATTCTCTCTCCTCCCCTCTTCTTCCTTCCCTTTTCCCTTCAGATTCACCCCATCATGATCACCCTTGAGACTGGTCTACTCACAGCAGGGGCGTGGTGCCCGCCGGTCTGATGATTATGTATACCTCCTCCACGACTTGGTCCCCTCTGCCCCATTACCCTCTCCTTCTTCTCATCGGTTTCGCCTTTCTCCTCTACGCCGTCCTCCCGTCGTTCTGGATAGTCGATGTGAAGAAGTTGTCCTTGCACATTTCGCAGCACGAAGCCATCAAACAAGCAGGGTAATGGATGGACATGCCGCCGCCGAGGAGGATCATTGAGAGGCACGCGTGCATGCGTGCATCGCCAGAAGGGCTAGCGGCATAACAACTCAAGAAATTTGCATGACAAGGGGCGGAGGAGCCCAGACATGCTTGCGTCGTGAAAAAATCGCGACGGGGTGTTTGGCCGTTTTCGGCCTCTGGGGGTTCTCGCCAGGCCCCGGGACCTTCAGAATGGCTCGGGATGAAACGTTGGCCCGCGGGGAAGGGTCGGATAGGGTCGGGACTTCTGGGGACCCCGTAGGAAACAACATCCAGGCATCGTATCTCTGGGAAGCCAGCGTGCGCAGACTCTGGCTCGTGTTCGCTTGTGCCCCCGTCTAGGGCAGCGGGCATCTATCCAGCTCAGCATGAGCATTTGACGTCGAGTGCGTACCCCCAGGTGGCAGCGCGGTGATGCGGCCGGCCCCGCCAACCTCCAGCGGCGCCTCCGTTGCCCCAGCCGTGGTGGTGCGACAGGCGCAGTCGGTGCCGCTGGCCTCCAACGGCGCTGCGGTTGCTCCTGCCGTGGTGCTGCGACCAGGTCAGCAAACCCCGCTCGCCTCCAACTGCGCTGCGGTCGCCCCGCCCACGAGCAGCCTCACAGGCGCGACGCCTCCTCCTCCTCCTCCTCCTCCTCCTCCTCCTCCTCCTCCTCATCCTCATGAATCATGTCGCTCGAACGGGTGGAGGAGTGGGAGGAATTGAGGCAGTGATTACAGCAAGGCAGCGAGACAGTAGCAACATGTTCCGACTGGCCACGATGGATGCATTTTTTCCGACCGCGAGGGCAAAACATTGGTGATGGCCGTGCGTGCAATCTGTACTAGACGCTGCCGTGCAGGCATCGGAGGAGGCAGCACTACCACGACTCCAAGGCAAGGTGTAGGTCAGTTAGGGCACAGGTAGGTCGTATAGTCTGAAAATCTTCAAGTGCGCTGAGGTTTTGCCTTATTGCACGGGCCTCAGGAGGGGTTGTACGCCGCAAGCCTGCTGTTCTGTCCGCCTCCTTTCATGTGACATGCTCGGTCGAGCAACGGAGTGCTCTCCGCCGACGCCTCAGCTGCCAGGCTACCTGCCCCCCCACTTCGGGCTTGCCAGGCCCTCGTGTATAATCGGAGGCTCCCGCATTCCTTGCCGTGAGGTGGAACAGACGGAGGATCCTGCGGGTGCGGCTGCGAGAGCGGCTCGCGGGGCCCTTGCGAGCAATCCTTCCATCGGGTGCAGGACAGTGCTGAAGGTTGCTGGGTGGTTTGCACAGGTGGGCACCCGCCACGCACCATGGCGGTGACACCAGGGTGCTGCTGAACGACGGACACGTTGGCTGCGCCGAGTGGCAGTCCTCGAGACCTTCGGAGCCCGGCGCGAGGATCCTGCATCCATATGCCCTACGCAGGGGTCTGGCTGCACCCATAAGGTATAGTTTTGACCCCCAATTGCCGTTACCTCACCTCATCAATCCTCCTCAATCCTCCTCCTCCTCCTCCGCCTCCTCCTCCTCCTCCTCCTCCTCCTCCTCCTACGCCTCCTCCTCCTGGGTACTGGCGCTCCTCCTCCTCCTCATCTTCGTCGTCCTCTCCTCGGCGTGCCCGACGAGCGGCGCCCCGCGCGGGCTCCTGCGCCGCAGGCGGCGCCGTGAGAGTGCAGGCGGCGGAGCCGGCGCAGCTCGCCTCCACGGGCGGAATGGTGAGCGCGGGCATCCCCGTGTCGTACCAGCCAGGCCTCTTCCTCTTCCTCATCCTCCACCCCCTCCCCTTCCTCCTCCTCCTCCTCCTCCTCCTCCTATCGTCTCGGTCGGCGGCGAGCGAGGAGGGGGATGCACGACGAGGCTGCAAGGGCCCTCGAGGGCCATGCCGACACTTCGCGAGCGCGGCACGGTCAGCGAGAGCGGCCACGGATGGGCCGAAGAGGAAGGATGCAAGGGTCACCTTGGAAAGCCGCTCATCCTCACCGTGCGGGTTGACTGTAAGAACACTCGGCGGCGAGCGAGAGGGGGAAGTGAGAAGGAGGAGGGCTTCTCAGATGGCGGCGGGGCTTCTCAGAAGCCCTCTGGCCTTCTGAGAAGTGTTCGGTGCCTCCAGGGAAGGGCTCAAGAACTGTCCAGAAGGCCTGGGGACTTCCGAGCCTTCTGAGAAGGCCCGCCCCTTCTCACTCCCCCCCTGGGATCGCCGCCGACTCGGAGCAAGGGCCCCCCACCGCCCGTCGTCATGGAATAACGGCGACGGGCAGTAATTTTGGCAGTTCTTCGGCGCCCGGGGGCGTTCAAGGGGCCCCAGGCCCTGGGCCCGCTAGCAAGAGGCCCGGGACAGAGATCTGGCCCCGAGGGATGGGGTCCAGACTTTTGGGGGGCGACGTTGCGAAGACGAGCGAGAACACGACGTCGGAGCTCGGGACTCCCGGGGGAACGGAGGTGATCGTGCTTCGTGCATCGGAGCCGGAGTTTGGGGAGGCGTCCTTCTTCTTTGGCGGCGGCTCGAGGGCGCGAAATGGCGCGAAGGTAACTGCGAGTTGCGCATCACGGGGCGCGTCGTGCGAGACTAGGTGGCCTCGGAGGGCTCAGTGACAGGAAGAAGAGCAGGGACGGAGAACATCCAGAGGAAGACGAGGAACATGGAGAGGCTGGGAGCAGCGGGAATGTAAAAGGAGGACGAGGAGGCGGAGAGGGAAGAGGAGAAGTGGGAAGTGGGCGGAAGGAGGGGAGGGAGAGATGCATGGAGGAGAGGCGGGGAGGACGAAGGGAGACAGAGGGAGGGAGTGGGTAGGAGGGAGAAGGGAGGGAGGGAGGGATGATAATGGGAGGGAGGAGGGAGTATAATGGGAGGGAGGATAATGGGAAGGAAGGAGGGAAGGAGGGAGGGAGGGAGGGAGGAGGAGGAGGAGGAGAAGGAGGAGGAGCTACCCGCCCGCTGCCCAGCACAACCTCCTTGCGATGTTGCCAAGACCTCTGGAGACACCGGGAGGCGTTTTCGACGGATCGGGAGGATGACGAGGATGATGACGTGGAGAACGAGGACGGGGACAAGGGACAGCATGGTCTGGCTAGAAGGGCTGGATGCGAGCCCCAGGCCACAGACCTCGGAGGCCCCTGAATGGCAAGACACATCCAGCAATTTAGTTCCCCTGCCACCTGTTCTTCCTGCTTCTGCTCGGAGGGGATCGGCGGAGGGAGCTGTTGGACCAACTGATGCGTCCAGGGCATCCACTGTTCGGTCGGCTCGGCTGCGTCGCAGTCTGATGCGTTCGATCGGTTTGGCTCCGGTCGGTTATTGTTGTTGTTGTCGTCGTCGTCGTCGTCGTCGTCGTTGTTGTTGTTGTTGTTGTTGTTGTTGTTGTTGTTGTTGTTGTTGCTGTTGTTGTTGTTGTTGCTGTTGCTGTTATTGTTGTTGTTGTTGTTGTTGTTGCTGCTGCTGCTGCTGCTGCTGCTGCTGTTGTTGTTGTTGTTGTTGTTGTTGTTGTTGTTGTTGTTGTTGTTGTTACTGAACTCATTCTTGAAGAATAATGATTGTTGATCCCCCCACCTGTGCACATTGTTGTTTTCAATTGGAGTGCCCCCCCGGGGCTCGCACCTTGTTTTTTTGTCAAGGAAAGTCTTCCTGCTCAAACTGGCCCCCTGGCCCCCGGGTTACAACAACAACGGCTCTCGCTTTAGACTTCCTCACAATTTAGCCAGGACCCCCGCTCCCGCCCGAGACTTCCTCGCATTTTATTCAAGAATCGCGCTCTCGCTTGGGACGTCCTTACGATTCATTCAGGAATCGCTCCTCCTGCGCTCTGGAGTCGCGCTCTCGCTGGAGACTTGCTTGCAATTTACTGAAGAATAGCGCCCTTGCGTTGGAATTTCTTGCAATTTACTTCAGCGCCGCGCTCCCGACACCCAGGCACCCAGGAGTCGCGCTCACGCTTAGGACTCCTTCACAGATTACCTAGGAATCGGGATCTCGCTGCCCTTCGTGGCCCCGTTGCAGCCCTTCGTGCCCCCCTCGCTTTGTTTCGTGGCCCCGTTGCAGCCCTTCGTGGCCCCCTCGCTTGTTTCGTGGCCGTTGCATTCCCTCGTTGTGCCTTCCATCCGCCTGTCCTTCGTGGCCCCGTGACAGCCCTCGTCGGCCCTCGCTTGTTTCGTGGCCCCGGTTGCAGCCTCGTGGCCCCCCTCGTGCCTTCGTGGCCCCGTTGCAGCCCTTCGTGGCCCCGTTGCAGCCCTTCGTGGCCCCCTCGCTGCCTTTCGTGGCCCCGTTGCAGCCCTTCGTGGCCCCCTCGCTTTGTTTCGTGGCCCCATATATGTATGCCCTTCGTGGCCCCCGCTCGTTCGCGACCGTGGTGGCCCCATATGCATGCCCTTCGTGGCCCCGCTGTCGCCCTTCGTGGCCCCCTCGCTGCCCTCGTGTCGCCGTGCCTGCCCTCCGCTGCCCTCCCGCTGCCCTTCGTGGCCCCTCGCTTAGCTCCTCGTGGCCCCGTCAGTACCCTCCGCGGCCCAAACATTACGTATGCCCTTCGTGGCCCCGCTCGTGCGCCCGGTGTGGCCCCATGTGCATGCCCTTCGTGCCACGAGTTCGCCGTTGTGGCCCCGCATCGTATGCACGTAGGCCCAGGTGATACCTCAGGGGCCCCATCGTTTGCCCTTCTATGCTCCGCATTATCTGCCCTTCGTCGCCCACGCTCGTCGCGCTCTTCGTGGCTCATACGCATTCCTTCGTGTCCCACGTGTCGCCCTCGTGGCCTACTTCGTGTCCTTCGTGGCTCTGCTGTCGTTCTCTCTCGCTTTCGCTCGTCGTCGCCGTCGCCGTCGTTGCCGTCGTCGTCGACGTCGTCGTCGTCGTCGTCGTCGTGGTCGGTCTCCTGTCCGTCCCTCTTGAGGTCGGGTCGACGGTCCGCGGCCGCCCCGCCAATCAGCGCTGGCCAGGCACGGTCCGCGGCCGCCCCGCCGCTTGCCGGGGCCCAGCCTGCAGGGAAGAAAGGTATACCACCCAAAAGGGGTTCGATCGAAGACGAAAAGGGCGGGTATCGAGGGTTTGGGAAATTCGCGTTATTCGACACCTCCCATCTTTACTTGAGCAGATAGGGCGAACAGTCTTAAAATGATTGTTACTTGCTGCTGCTGCTGTTGTTGTTGTTGTTTTGTTGCTGTTCCCCACATCCAAAGTGGGGTTCTTGTTTTCTCTGCACACCCCGCGCAGGAACACTCACCCCACCCCTTCTCCTCTTCTGCCTTCGCACACTCACTCACTCACTCATCATCATCACCACTCACTCACACACACTCACTCACACTCTCTCATAATCAACATCAGCATCATCACTCGCGCTCTCTCGCACGCTCAGTCACTCACATACTCATCATGATCATCATCATCATCATCATCACTCGCACTCTGTCACACGCTCACTCATTCACATACTCACCTGGAGGACGTCTCAGGCGGGAGCTTCGTCTCAGGCGGGACCCCCTCCCTATGGGGGCCGACTGCATGTTGTAATTCCGAGCGGGTCATCCGAAACGTGTAATGTCGTAACTTCTGGTCTGAGCTGAATAGGAGGGAAGTCTCGAGCGGTAGCACTTTCAAATAGTTCTATTTTCATACTTTCGCTTCGTCTGTTGACGTGACACTGCGAGGAAGTCTGAGGCGAGCCCCCTCCCTATGGGGCCGCATTTCATTGTTGGTATCCGAGCGGGTAATCCGAAAAGTGTAACTGTCGTCACTTTGGGGCCCCTGAGGCCTGAAATGGAGGAATCTCGAGCGGAGCCCGTCTTGGAGTTGAATTGCGAGGAAGTCTCAGGCGGGAGCCCCTTCCCTATGGCGGGCCCGCATTTTTCATGTTGGTAATCCGAGGGGGTCATCGAAAAACGTGTAAACTGTGTCACTTTTGGGCTCTTGAGGCTGAATATGGAAGGAAGTCCGAGCGGAGCCTCGTCTGTGAGTGACTTGTAAGGAGTTCTCGGGCGGGAGCCCTCTCCCTATGGGGCCAGCATTTCATGTTGGTAATCCGAGCGGGTCATCCGCAACGTGCAACTGTCGTCACTGCTGGGCTCTTGGGACCTGAATATGGAGGAAGTCTCGAGCGGGAGCCTCGTCGGTGAGTGAATTGCGAGGCGGTCTCAGGCGGGAGGCACCTCCCTATGGGGCCCGCACTTCATGTTCGAATCCGAAAGCGGGTCACCGCAAACGTGTATCTGCGAGTCATTTGGGTCTGTAGTTGATTATGGAGGAAATCTCGAGCGGGAGCTTCGCTGTGAGTGAATTGCGAGGAAGTCTCAGGCGGAGGCCCCCTCCCTATGGGGTCCGCGCTTCATGTTTCGAATTCCGAGCGGGTCATCCGAAACGTGTAACTGTCGTCACTTTTGGGCTCTTGAGGCCTGAATATGGAGGAAGTCTCGAGCGGGGGCCTCGTCTGTGAGTGAATTGCGAGGAAGTCTCAGGCGGGGGCCCCCTCCCTATGGGGCTCGCTTCCCGAGGCGCTGGCCGAGGCGGCGACGGCGCTGAGGAAAATTGATTTGCTTGCCCCGACGAGGGGGAAGGGGAGGTGCACATGGAGAAAAGGCAGGGGGATGAGGAGAGAAGGGGCATGAGGGAGGCCGACGACGAGGAGGAGGTGGCGCGAGAGGAGGAGGAGGAGGAGGAGGAGGAGGAGGAGGAAGGAGGAGGAGGAGGAGGAGGCAGGAGGAGAGGAGGAGGAGGAGGAGGAGGAGGAGGAGGAGGAGGAGGAGGAGGAGGAGGAGGAGAAAGA